GATTGATTGATTGATTGATAAATTATTTAGTGCAGGGTCTACAGGGTGTCACTACACAGATAAGACTCACAGTGATCCTCCTGTTTTCAGCCTCCCAAGCGCTGGGATTACAGGTGCCTGCCACCATCCCGTCTCAATCTTAGTGTGCCCTGGGGGGTGGGGCCTGCATGGCACACCAGGGATATGGAAACTCCAGTCCCTGCGTGTGCCACCTGGGGGGGGGGGGCTGCAGCTGGGAGCTGAGGGAGGACACATGCCTCGCCCCCATTCCACACAACTGTCCCCTGCCAGCTGCAAGCCTGTGCAGCAAGGTGAGTGGGTCCCCAGTGGTGAGCCAGAGGCTGGGGCATCAGAGGCACTGTCGCTTCAAAGGGACCTTGGGGAAAGGGCTCTGACCTCACCTCGGTGGCTCAGGGGATACTGTATTCTGAGCCTGTCACCCATGATGCCAACCAAAACACAGCTCTCCAGGGATAGCACAGACACACAAAGGGCTATTTAGGGCCATCTGCAAAGTGTATGACCTCTGTGAAGCCCCTCTTCCGGGTGGTGGCTCAGGACTGTACGTCTGCGCATGTGCACATGCACGCCAGCGCTCCCGCGCACACACAGGCTTCTTTCTCCTCCAAGCCAGGCCTCATAGATCAAGGGCCTTGGGGAGAATGTGCAGGATGGGATCTGGCTAAACCCAGACAATTCAAGCGGCCAGTTCTCAGACGTTGAATTTCAGACTCACTGAGCCTGGCTTACAGAAAACACTGTAGGCCCTGGGGGAAGGTAGGTTCCCCTGAAGGGCTGGAGGGGGGGTGCCTACAAGGCAGGGGCCATGGGTGGGTAAGGTTGGCTCAAGAGGCCTAGACTTTTATAATTTTTTTTTTTTTTTTTTTTGCGGAACGGGGTATTGAACTCAGGCCCTTGCATTTGCCAGGGAAGCACTTATTCCACTGAGCCATCTCCCTGGCCCCAAGAGGCCTAGCCTTAGGATAGGGCATGTTTTGAGGTGCTCTAGGTAACACTTGGTAGTGGGGAGCCCCCTGTCCCCAGGGTGGACTGGATATTGCAGGACACTGGCTTTTCCAGTGGCCCCTCCTGCATTTCCCCTGCCATTCTCTTCAATCGTTGGTAACAGATTCTGGTGGTGGCGGGGGGACAGGTGTGTGCCTTGAGTGCAGATGCTGAACCGATGCTGACCACCCGGGAATGGTTGTGGAAGGGAGCCGTGTGGGCGCATGGGCTTCCCGCATGTATGATGGGCAGCAAGCCATGATTCCTGAGAAATAAGGATCCAGCGGCTGTGATGCTCACACGTGAGGACAAATTGAGCTCAAATTTGATGGCTAATAGAGGTGCAAGATGTTCCTGCTCCCTCTCTGGGGTCGTGTGCTGCAAGAAAGCCATTCGGCAGGTGTCTTAGCTTGCTCGCGGTTGGCCATGACTTGAAGAACAAAAAATTGCTTCTTACAGTTACAGAGGGTGGAGCCACGTTCAAGGCCCCATGTGACTCTGTTCCTGGTAGGAGCTATCTTGGTGGCTTGCTGGTGGCTGCCCCTCCTTGTGTCCCCACATGGCATGAAGGAAAGCAAGCTCTCGGGCATCTCTTTGTGCAAGGACACTCACTCTGTCAGTTCATGGCCTGCTTGTGACCTGCTCTTCTTTGGTCACCTTCTAAAGGCTCTGGCGGTTGGGGCTTCACCTCATGGGTTGTGGTGGGTGCAGCTCAGTCCATACAGCGTGGCTGTTTTCTGCGAATGGGAGGAGAAAGAAGACTGTGCTTCCTCTGTCTCCTCAGGTAAACGGAACCAGCTCAGGCTCAGCTTCACTAACACAGCAGCTCTCAGGCCTTTCTCCTTCTCCAGTTCTAGCAGTGTCCCCATTCACAGAAATGCCCCTTCCGGGTCCTAGCCCCGGTGTCCATTGGCAAGCCCGCCAAAGACAGCATCCACGTGCGCTTGTGCAGGAGGCTCCTGCCTGCTGGCTCTGAGCCGAAGGGTCCCAAGCTCTGTCCTTTCAACCAGTGCTTTCCTGAGCTCCTGCAGAGGCCACGTGAGCCCTGAGCTTCCCAGGTCTGGGTGCTGAGCCCTGACCCCCTCCTCTGGTCCAGCACCATGCCTTGTCACCTCCAAACC